GGACCCTCTCATTCCTCACACTGGTCAGTTCTGGTACGGTAGAGCGGAAAATCCCCGATGAGTGGTCTCAGAGAATGCGGATGTGTTCCGGTTGGGGGGGGGGAAGGAGAGGGGGGTTGTATGAAAAGCTTACGATTATTCAGAGCGAGCTTCGGAAATTTAGGGGAACTCCCGGAAAGCCCAAACTAATTTACCTCAACAGTGGCCTCTCGGCTGCAGCTGATCTACCTGTTTTCAGGACTTAAAAAAATGAGTGGTCTCAGAGAATGCGGATGTGTTCCGGTTGGGGGGGGGGGAAGGAGGGGGGGGTTGTATGAAAAGCTTACGATTATTCAGAGCGAGCTTCGGAAATTTAGGGGAACTCCCGGAAAGCCCAAACTAATTTACCTCAACAGTGGGCTCTCGGCTGCAGCTGATCTACCTGTTTTCAGGACTTAAAAAAAAAAAATTCCTATGGTTTGTCCAAAAAAGGAAGAAACCATGTCGTACCTTTTTAAAAAAAAACAAACAAACAAACAATTTGGAATGGTTGTATTGGTTATAACTGGTGTGTTTAAGACAGGGCTTCTTAACTTGTTGTCCACGGACTCCTTTAAAAGATATTTGGTGGTCAGTGCGTTGCATTTGCCTAGTGAGTGTGACTCAGGCATTAAAAAAAACAAAAAATTCATCTAGGCTTAGCTACGCGCCGGGTCATGGCTACTCTCCGACCCACCGTGTCCGGAGCGAAAAAATCGCCAACTGACCCGCCTTCGACGTAACGGCGTTTAACATGTCTGAAAACCGGCCCACAGCTACACAATAAACGAAATAACAAAATATTCTTCTCCCAAGACCCGTAAGGTTTGTTCCACCCCAACCTGTAATATATCAATCTTACGGATCCTACTCTCCCTGACAAACGTGTCACATTACCTCACTGGGATTTCGGCTGCCACGCGTCTGTAGCTGTGGCCTTCACTCTGACGTTAATCTGCCTTCACCGGAAACAGGTAGATCCATGTATGGAGTACGGGCGGCTAGCCGCGAGGTTACAGGCGAGGCACAAAGGGATTGTTGGCGTCTTCACCTTCCGTCTCAATGAAGTTCTGATAAGATAAGCTGTGATTCTCACAGAAATTGTTTTAATATTGTTCATTAAATTACTATTTGACAACAACTTAGGCAATTTATATATATATATATATACATGTATATATATATATATATATATATAAATATATATATATATACATACTTATACAATTTTTTTACCAATAATTCGGTTGTCATGGGTGTATTGTGAATGGACTCAATGGAAAGCTAAAAATTTTATATGAAACAAATTTGTTCGAGTGAAAATTCATATGAAGCGAAATATTTTCCCCAAATTGACTTCAGTTTTCTATGTCCAGAAAATCAGCAGGATCCAATTTTCCCTATAAGGTTTGTTGGTTCGTGTGCAAAGTTTTACAGCATCAGTTGTTTGTTTTTGTGTGCAAAATTTTACAGCCCACAAACAGAAACACACACTGACATGGAAATTTGCTGCGCGGTAATCAAAACTGCTGCACGGTGTCTGTAAGATAGCCGCGCAGCCGCGCAGCTTAAAGGCAACATTGGCAGGATCCAAAAATTTTTTACGGCTGATGCCAGAAGCCATCTGTGGAAACGGTTGCGGACTGCAATGTAAAAGATGAAACGGTTCAAAATAATCACATACATCAAATAATATTTGTCCCTCCAAAAAAAAAAATAATAATAAAAACACAAAAAGTTTGTTAATAAAAAAATGAAAAGAAATAAAGAATCTTTTTTTTTTTGTTTTTTAATTTAAACATTTTTTTTACACGACTTGTCAGATGGATTGTAATGAATATTGTTCGAAATTTGACTGTTTTTTTTAATTTTTTTTTTTTTAAATTTTATTTTTAAAGTTAATAGTGTCTACTTGTGTGCATTGAAATAAGTTTATTTGCATTATCATCATTTAGAAAAAAATTAAGATTATTTTTTTTTTTAAAATGTTTTTGTCAATCAATTTAAATATGTTTGCCTTTGAATTTTTTTTTTTTTTTTT